CTTTCCCTAAGAAAGAATTTTTAGGGTCTTTTTTTGAATAGAGAGTCTATTCAAATAGATCTGGCTAATCAATACACCTCTGGCTGAAATGCTGTTATCCAGAGTAACATATAATGATCACTTTACAACATCAAACTCCTGTTTAAAAAAAATGTTCTAAAATAAGCATAGACAAATATGCTGGTGTGAAAATTTTTGATAGCTTTTTCATTAAATGATGCATTTCATCTTCCATAAGATATTCCAATCAGATTTTTTTTACAGCTATGAATCAATAGTTCAATGTTTTTACACCTGTTCCTACAGTACTACTTCTAGTTTGTTTGCCTGTGAAGAAAGGTTCATCTTTAGGCACAGAGATTATTATAACAAGGAGGGCAGCCAAATATGATCAGACACTTTAGCATAATGCTAGTTTTGGTGGGGTGTAAATCATCTAGGTGTTTTTTTGAAAATTTTGTTTCATGACAGCATATTGAGTACAGAACTTGGCTTGATCCAACTAAAACCTGAACAAAATCATATTTATCCATTCAGACAGAATATTTGCATTTCTAAATGTGTAGGAAGGTTCGATTAACATGGTACCAAACATAGCCCTGGGCAAGTTACGCATCTGTTAGGTGTGGGTCCTTTAGCATTTGTGATTCCTCATGGTTACCCACTGTACGCCCAGAGGCTGGATTAAAAAGTCTTTTTCTTCTGTGTGATTGAGAAGTTCCTGCCTTCTCTTTTCTTCAGCCTTTATCTTCTTTGTCTTTCTCTGGGAATAGATTTAAGATTAAGATAATATAAGAGTTTATAGACTTGTTGTCTAATAGATAGGTTCTGATAAAAACCAGTCCACTGGAGTTACTGTCATAGTATATGGAAGGGAAACAAAGTTCGGAAGTCTGTTTGAAGAAGTAATGTCAGTGTCATAGGTAGGAGAGGGAAGGCTAATACCATTGGAAGAGGGGCAGAGCCTGGCAAACACACTGCTCTGAACCCCTGTGCCGCAGTGTGGTGTAGCAGTGTCAGGACCTCTTGAGGAACCAAGAAAAAAAGCTAGTTCTGTGCTGTTCTGTAGAATCTAATGAAGGTGCTGGAGGTTGGCAGATGAATACAAGTCTCAGCTGTGCAACTGGAACAGGATCAAAAATAGTGTCATCATAGGACTGTGGAAGAGAGGACTCATATTAGAAGCAGAACAACTTGACTTTTTCTACAAGAAAGAGAGTTTTTTCCCTAAAAAGCAGATGTAGTTGAAGAACTCACTTCCTCTGGGCAAAAGGAGAGGGTTAGTGAATAAGTTATTTATTTATTCATTTTGACTTTTTGGACTGATCTGTGGATTTCTCTTTCATTTAAAATGTAGTTAGGGTGAGATGGTTACCTGAAACGTCTGTGGTAGCCTTTTGCTGGTCCAGAGGACAGTGAGATGAGCCTGAATGGGTGGGGTGATGTTGACAAGGTGGAGAACCATACCCTGTTGTAAAAAATTGTTTCTTTGAATAAAATTTTACTTCTCCTAGGTAAGTTGGTTTAGCATCCCAGCACACCGCCTATAATTCAGTTTATAAAAAAAACCCCAAACCCAAAACCCAACCCCAAACAAACAACCCCCCACAAAAAAACCCCAAACAAATTCCCCCCAAACCAAAACATATCCATATATGTATGGAGTGCTTAAGAATCCACAACAGCTTGAAGATGCTACTTTTGAAGTAATATTGAGAAAGCTGGCAAAACTATTGCTGTTTGAGTGGCTGCCTTTTTCAGCATTGTGTTGCATTGTTGAACAGTTTTTAATTCCTGATTTAGGAACTGATCATACATCCACTGAGCATAAAACTTTAAAGTAGTAAGAGAAGTCCAATCAATGTTTTTGTAGAAATGCACAGGAGCCACTGCCAAAGTGTCATAGTTTTGTGAAGCTACGCAGAGGGTCCTGGCATGCGGACTGCTCAGTTAGATTCATTCCTCTGTGACCCAGGCAGATTTTAAAGTTTAAAAATCTTCACTTTCACTTGAAAAATCTTCCTGGAGTACACAGTAAGTAATGCTTTTAACTCCTCAGCACGTAGCAAAGAATAAGTCCAAATACAGTTTGAAAAACTAAACCTTTTAAAATTTCAGAAGCTCCTTACAAGAATTAAAACAGAGAGACCATGAGTGGCATGATGGAGTTTTGATGCTCCACTTTCTGCAGGGAATCATGCAGAGCCCTCTGGGAACGGAGTAGCGGTACTACTTCAGGTACTTCTGAGGGTGATCTGGATCTTGCCCTGCAAGCCCTTGCTTCTCCCTCTTGCCTCCGTGGAAATTTAGGCTCCTTAATCTTGATGCTCTCACTTGCACCCTACTTGCAGACCAGAAGTCTCGGTGATGACACCATCTTCAGCTCCCCTCCAGCTGTCTTCATGTCCCACTCTCTTAAACTCTAAGCTGGCCAAGCCACACCCAAAAGTCCCATGATTTCCTAGGGTCAGAAGTTCCATTTCATGCCGTTTCCCGGTTCTGGTGCCATCTGTGTGCACCAAGAGCTCAGCTCGCATGCAGACAGCCCCGCAGGTGTGTACACCGGTTTCCCAAGCAGTGCACATACAAATGGCATTTCCCAAAGCGGCGCTTTAGGAATACACACACAAACCACTGCAAAAGTGGTGTAATTGGCGCTTTCTCATCAGAGTGTTTTCTGTAGGTAAAGGTTGCAGTTGTACATTTCTGAATAAAGTAAAATACTTCAGCATGTGAAATTTCTGATTTTTCTGTTCTTTGAATGTCTAAAGAATCTGGTTGTATGCCAAACCCATTTTTATGGCTGTATGTTGATTTTTCTAGACAGAGTTGTAGGAAGTGACTAGGTGGTATGATCACCTTGTCTGTCATACCTGTGGGTAGATTTGAAAGGAAGATAAATGTCAAAAGTATAATGCAGTCTGAGCATAGCTTATAGGAATGATGTATGTGAGAATGCTTTAGGAAATCAGCATTGTGCAGATGGAGCTGAAAAGATTCTGAATTCTGTTGTGGTTTTGAGGATCTTTAAAATGAAGTGCAAAATATAAAATAATGTGGATCTGTGAAATCCTTGGTGTTATGTTATTTACCCTTGTCATGAAGCAGATGGTTGTCTGTTGAAGCTCTGGCAGTGCTATTTCAGTCTTCTTACTGTATACTTCTTAATGCATATTCTGTTGCTGTTAAAGATATGTTAAATTACATTAAATGAAACTTTTCAATGACCTGGCATAAAACACGCCCAATCAGAATGTGAATATTTTTCTGAGCATTCTGAAGTAGGTTACAAAAATCCCACTGAGTGTGTTTGGTTCACCTTTTCTACCTGCATCTTAAAAAAAATACTTTTAGCATCTACAGTTGTAACTAAGGATTGCCTATTTGAAGACTAAGCCTGTCACTGTTTGGTTGTCTTAGTGAAAAGAATAGTTGTATACTTCCAATAGAGCTCTTTTTAAAATAATTGAAATAAAACATGTGAATGTCTTCAGTATTTATTTATTTACTGGAATCACTACACCCATATTTGTTGCTTAATATAAATGGTAAGGGTAGTTGAGCTAACAGCTTAGTTAGGAGGATTCCCTTCCTGTCTTTTAGACAATCATCCTACAAATGGTTGTATGATTTACTTTGTATATATGTCTAGCAGGGTTTTGATTAAATGAATATTGATGGAACTATTAGCTTAGGTTATAAAATAATCAACCAGAGTTTGTTTCAGTTTTGTTATTGTGAAATACCAAATGCTTTATTGGGACTTAACAATTAAACGTGTGCACATACTTACAAGTTTTTATGTATAAAATGAAGTGTGTATTAATGTGTGATTTCTATTATGAAATTTGCAGATGCTAAGAAAAAGTGCAATATTAATGGTATATTTTTATTTTGCAGCTTGGATCATCCTCCTCTGTGCCTTTTACATCCATATTCTCGCAGCTGTTTATGACTGTTGTAGTCCCCCTTATTATTGGACAGGTATGTCTTTTAAATATACATTCTTATTTAAAAAAATAAGATAAAGAGAGCTATCTTAAAGACAGACTGGCATCCTGGTAAGCTACCACATACGAACAGCCTCAGGATAGTGAAGTCTAATATCAGAGAAAAGATGCTACAGTGCTCCCTGGAGCCACATTGATCTTTGTTGAGATTGAGCATCTGTCCCTCACTACCACAAACATACGCTACTGCATATCGAGAAGGGAGTTTGTGAACATAAAGTGGGAAAAATGGCAGCCCAGACTGTGAGAAATTCCAGCCCCATACAAATGAGCTTTGAGAATACTATACAGTCCTTTTGTCACATGCCCTTTGCCTGGATGATGAAGGAAGTTCTCCCTGTGCAGGATCTACTACTAATTACAGGAATTAAAAAATCCTCGACATTAAAAAATATATAAGGGCTAAGCAGTCAGAAATTAAGAAATAATAAAATGAAGGCTGCTTGAGCCATTTTGCATGTGCCTTACAATAAGGGTTTTAATTAAACAATTGCAAACAATTTTTTCTGTGTGGCTCCTCCATCATTTGTTACACTGGATGGAGGGTGTTCATGGCATGAGCAGCTGCTCAGTATTTAATTTCTTACTCATTGTTCATATTGAAACACAAGGCTTTATTTTTCATGGCATATGATTGAAATATTTCACTGAATGTAAATATACTAATTGCAATATAAGATTTTCTGTGACACTTGTCTCTTTAGTATCTGTTTTTTCACAGATATTAATGTTATTTTTTTTTTCTTCCACATCATGGTGGGAAATTGCTGTTTTAAGACCAAAAGTTGTCAGAAGTGTCCACTATTCTTAGACACCAAACCAAAACACCCAAAGCCCAATTCTTACATATTTGTAAATATTTGTTGTTCTCAGGCATCCAGCATGCACGAAGGGAATATCATCAGGATTTGCAGTTCATTCCCAAGAAGTACTGTGCTGATTCTGTAATCCAGTTTAGCTCTGGGTTCAGCTGGAACTTTCTGAATTTTGTCAGCCTAAAGCAGACTTTGAAGTGGAAAGCACAGTTAAAATGTAGGCAAATGAGGGTGGAGTCTGAACACTGGACGAGGCTAAGAGTGTCTGTCATTGCTGGTGCGGTGTAGAACAGCGAATCAGTCTTGTATCAGACTGTAATTGGATGTTTCAAAATGGGAATGTACTGTAGCTTACCAAAGTCCTAGTGAAGTTTGTTTCTTACATGGTCAAAAAACCCCCATTAAAGTCTAATAGGAAGATGGGCATGATAAGCACGACGGTAGCCACCAGCATCAGTACCTGTGTAACCCGGACGTAGCCATACCATGTGGAAAATGGACATAACCTCTGTGTCCCTGAAGGTTAGTGAATTGCTCACATGCTTTGAGTTAAATCCCTAAGAACCTCCTCATTAATTAGGACCACAAAGGGTTGCTGATGAACCTACCTGCTATTGTATTCTTATCTTGTCAAAATAGATTAAGTCTCTGACAAAAGTGCACAAGCAAAAGTACTTGAGTGTTCTGGTCCGGAAAGGTCCAAAACCTGGAAGCTGTTAGTTGGAAGCCTTAGCTGGAAATATCTAGGAACCAAACAGCATGGCAGTAGGTCTAGGAATAAAGCAACCTAGAGTGATAGATGGAGTAGCTGTAATCTGTACTGCAATATGAGAAGTCGGAAGGTGGTGGTAGATGGCTAGACAAAGTGATTGCAAAATTTCAAGAGGGCTTTCATCTGTATATATGTGATGGCATGGTACTTTGGAAAGATGTTACAAGAAATTGTTTCATGAGTGGAGTTTGGGGTTTTCAGGCTGTGCCAAATAGTAAGGCTAAGTAACATGAACAGAGCAGTAAGCATACGAAATAAGTGCTGTGGATGATCCTATGTTCAGAATCAGAATTGTGATAAGACTTAACTGAGAACAGATGTGATTTAGGAGTTCTGATAAAGACTGAAAGAAAAAAAGTAAAGAATCTTAAAGCTGCTGTAACTCAGACGCAAATTAATATTTAAGAGTTTGGTTTTTGTAAATACACTTCAACAAGAAATAGTATGATTCTCTTCTACAAGTGTTTGAAGCAGTTTCTGGAAACGAATGGTAACAGAAATAGCTCCCATTCCTCTAAAGTTATTGCACTTGATTATATCTGTTCAGAGGATGTGGAAGAGAGAAAATGCTAAGGATAGCTGCAGATCAAAAATGCCAAGAGTAGTTTATGTTTATTGTCTTGATTAGGTAGAACTGTACAGAGGTAAACCAACCCGCCCAGGTAGGAATAGAAGCCAGTTTTGAAGGGGGATATTTGGAAATAACATGCAGTAATCAGGGGAAAATAATAAGTAAGAAAAGGACTGACACCAAGACATACGGTGATAGGTCTGCTTGCCCTTCACCCAGAGGTGGCACGGATCTGCTCTGAATTCAATGGGAGCTTTTGCATGTAGTTGGTAGCCCACTGCTCACTGGTTACTGACCAGTCGCACAGCATGCGGCGCAGCGACCCTATATTGCTCTGTGGGTCACGGGTGCTCGCTCTGGGATTCCAGATGCATTATGAGGTAATGGCCCACAATTCGTGAGTGACTATTTCAGCAATTACTTCTGATTTATCATTTCATGCCCGCAGTGTGAATTCCTTGCCACGCACAGTCATACTGTTCAGCAGAAAAGTTAGTGGAAGAATGCCTGCTCAGATTACCTGGTGGCAAAGAGCTTGGGGGGGAAGAAAAAAGAGCTTGGAGCCTGCCTGCTGGAAGGATTGCTTTTCTTCAGCCATCCTAACTGCTGTGATCAACAGAGGCTTTACGCTCGATCCACATCAGTGTAAAACAGAGGAGGCTGCTTAAAGGAAGCATTCTCCAAGGGGTTTATTTTCCTTTAAAAAAATCTCGCCTCTGGGAAAACCTGTGTTGCCTAAGTGCTCGTTTCCCGAGCAGGCTGCAGAGCTGGCTGCTTGAGCAGCCCCTGGGATAGCAGCAAACTAGATGAGAAGGTGCTTGTAGATTTGTTTTATTTGGGGTTTTTTTATTTGCTTTATGGCAAAATGTATCAAGAGTTTTGGTTGCTTGGCTGACTTGTCAGAATTTTTAATGATGGCTGGGGGAAAGATGTTGCAATAGTTTAATTGATGCTTATTTTCTACTGTTTCTCGAACAATTTTTCAGTGTGTGGCAAGGCGGCCGTTGTCAGGAGTCAAACACAGCAATGAGGTGTGTAAGGGGCTGCAGGTCCAGCCTCTGCTCAGGTGGTGTCTGCCATTTGTTGGGCAGAAAAAGAACTGTTAGAGGAGGAGGAAGATACCATGTTATGGGAAAGGCACCGAGGTTTACAGATAGCAGTTCCTGGTAGATGGTCTGCAATAAGGAGAATCGCTCCGTTCTTTGTCAGAGATGTGCAGGTTGTCTAAACCTAAAAACCGTAGTGGTCGGTGTCCTCTGTGTCTACAGGTGTGTTTTCCTAATTGACAATATGATGTTATTCAAAACAGTATTGACAGTGTAATATTGCATTTTTATTTATTGAGTAAAGAATAAGATCTCTCTGACATGAGGTCTTGAAAAGAGACATAACCTATAGTATTTTATAAAGATCTAATGTTCTGGGAGATCTGGAGTGTGCAGGAGCTCGTTTGCGCACCACTCTTGTATATCTCTATGGGGAGTTTGAGGATACTTCTTTTACAATAAACATGGTAGTAGATACTTCGTGGGAAAGATTTTTGAATTTGCTCTGGTAGCTTGATTATTCTGATTATTTTTTTGCTGGGTGGCAGAGTTGTGATGAAGATTGCTGCTCCTGAGCTGTTGTGATTTTGCTAAAATAATTGTTTTCTTGTCTATAGGTGTCAGTAATACTTTTAGCCAGCAAAACGTAAGGTTTTGCGAAATCTCTAGGCAGTTTCTTCACGACTAGTTGCGAGGTTTGGCTGAAGACTGTTGTTTCTTTGCTTATTTTTTTGTTCTGAAGTGACAGACAACAGTAACAGTGAAAACCACTGCAATATTTCCTTTCCCCTTTTTGCAGACTTTCACCATTCTCTACACCTAAGTGCTTATGACAGACTTTTATTTTATGTTTTATATTAAAGAGCGATTTATGATTAAATGTTAATGAAATAGAATTTTCACTGTGCTTTCATTATATTCTACTAGTTTGAACATTTTTCAAAGGAGCACACCAAAACCCACTGTTTTCTATGAATAAATAATAAAAAGCTTGTCTGTACATTATCATTCATGCATTCTCTAGTTGCCTCATTGGTAATTTGTCTGCCAGCGTAAAGTGGGCACTTCACATTAAACAGACCTTAACTAAAGCTAAAATTAATGTTATGATTCTAAGTAGTTCTTCTTCCCAAATCTATAAAATTCAGTTGTACAGAAATCCTTGCTGAATCTAGTCACACAAAAAAATCTTGATGTCCTACAAGTAAAGGATTTTAAATGCCTTCTGCATCATTGCCCAAAATGTTCCAGAGGAACCCTCCCAGCATTTGGGAGGTGTGCTTCTAAACACAACTTTAAAAGGGTGTTGCAATACAAGTTGTCAGTGAAATTAAAACTAAAAAGCTTAGCAATGCATTTATTTTTTAAGAATAAGAAGTTGAAAGGGAAAGGTAGGTGGCTGATGTTAGGGAACAGAAGATGTTATTAACCTGAGCCTGATGTTTGTTTATAGTGGTGATGGTGGTGGGGAACAATGGTTAAAGAAACTGGTATAAAAAGGGAACAGTGTCAGATCCTTTTGTTCTTGTAACTTAAATCCACATGGAAGTAGCCCTACTTTCTCTTCAAACTCCCAGGGAGCTGTGGGGAGGAGGAGTGGTACCCTGGGAGATGAGCGCTTCTGGAAGCTTGTTGCAGAAAACTGAGCTGGCAGATAAAGAGCATTCAGCCCACAGCCCGCTCCCTGCTGGTGCTTGGCTCAGACTGGGAGCAGACCCTGGTCTCCACAGAAATGCCGAATATGAAGAAAAGATGTACCCCTGCTACAGA